ATGGAGGAGCTGAGGAGGGTGCCGCGGGGGTTCCAGAATTGTGAATGGTTCATATAACTACATGGGTAGTAGTAAGTAAGTAAGAGAAGCTGGACTCGTCGCCGACATGCTCAGTGACTAACTAGGATGCCATCCTATCTTTGTCCTCAGCGTTGCGGAGAGCCATGTAGCGTACGTAGTAAAACTGATTGATGATCGTTCACCTAAATTAAGCCTGACAACATATTGGCATCAGTATATATATTTGGAATGTAATGGGTATGTATACCAGCAAAAATCCGCGCTTGGAGAAATTCGTAAGGGGGTGAATGCTAAGCCCACGGGGTTCTTCTCAGCAATTCTCACAGTAGAGGATGATTGATACCAATACCTGATCTATCTAGATGCGTCGTTGTTTCGCTACACATGATACAACTGACAATTTCCCATCATCACAGTATCTTTCTTTCTTGGTGTCTGGAGCCATTTACCTTCTACTCACCACGCAAATCTAGTTGATAAAAATCGCTAGACGAGAGAGACTTATCATAATGACTGGTTGTTAGTTGCTCTTATCATGGATGTCAGGTATGTAACCTAGGTAGGTTTTTCGACAGGTATTCATACATGCATACATACGGATGATTAATTAGCCTTTAGGACCGACCACCTTCTACCACTTCGTTCAGTAAGTTGCAAGTAACTGGTATGAGTAGTCCGTCAGGATAGTTGCTCAATGGCTTTTCGCGTCCTTAGAGGCGAAGTCAGCCCGAGCCTGCTAAAGGGAGATAGATGGGCGTGGGACCATGCAATTAAGTACTCTTAGATGGGAACCTTTACTTCAACTAGATATATGAATCGAACTGGAAGCTAATAGATAAATAACCTAAACGACGTATCAGCCAGTATTCCAGATAAAAAAGAATAACTTAGGGACTATTCGATAAATTAAATTTTCATAAAAGTTATAAGTAAAAATAGCATACGTTTAATAAATTAAATATAAACTTAATTATAAGTGTAAAACCTATTTATTTTATAATTATTTTTAATAACGATTATATAAAAAATATTCGATTTAAAATATTAAAAATTTTATTAAAAAATAACGTTAACGTAGCTTAATTTATTAATAATATACGCTTAATAATTTAAAGTTAAATTAAACCCTTTAAAATTATTTAAAGCCGCGTTTTTATTAAAAATACGTAAATTATAAAAAGGTTTTAATATTTTCGTAAAAGTTATATAAATCGTAAAAATAGTTTAAAATTAAATATAAAAAAAGGTTCGAATATTAAATAAAAAAATAAATATTCGTTAAAAATAAAAAAACGTTATTTAAATTAAAAAATTAGCTTTTTATTTATTATTAAGCTTTATATAATATTTATATTATACCCTTTATTTTTTTAAGCTTTATATTTTTTTAAAGCGATAATAGCTTTTTTGCCGCTTTTAAAGGTAGCTATTATTAATTTTATTATAAATAATCGATTTATCGATTTTAAACTTATAAATTAATAATTTTTATAATCGTTATAATATTTATAATTTTTATACTAAATAAAAGATAGCGTTTTTAATAGCTAAATATTTAAATAATATAAATAATAAAAAGTTAGCTTTATTATACTTTTTTTAAACCTTTTTTTATTATTTTTACTATTTTTATTTTTTTAAAAAAGCGTAAAAGCGCTTTAAATAGCAATTTTTATTAAATAAAAAAGCTAAAAATTATTTTATTAAATAATGCTTTTAAATAATTAAATAATAATTTAAAAATTAATATTAATAATATAAAAGCTCGTAAAATTAATAATATTATTTAAACCTTTAATATTTATTTTAATTATAATATTAACGTAATAAAAATAATTAATAAATTAAAATTTATATAATATAAAACGGCTATTTAATCGAAGCTTATAAACGTAAACGATTTAAAATAATATAAAAAACGTGAAATAATCGATAAAAAAAAGCATATTTTAATTATTTATTATAATATAAATAATCTCTCGATTTATAAATAAAAAAAGGCTAATTTTCTTTTTATAAAAATATGTTTATTTAAAAGCTTAAAAATTTTAGTTTAAATAGCTAAAAAATCGTAAGTTTAATATAATATATTTTAAAAAAATATACGAGCTATTAATAAAAAAGCTAGATTTTTTAAAAATATTATAAGCTTTATAATTAACGTTATTATAAGCGAGTTTAAGTTTAAAAAAAATAACGATATTAATAAAAATTTGCTATTATTAATTAAAAAACTTATTATAAAAAAAGCTTTTTATAATAAGCGTAATTAATATAAAAAATCGAAAAAACCATATCGAAAAAATATATTATAAATAATAAATTTATTATTAAAAATTTAAATAACGTAATATTTACGTTATATTAAAACTTTAAATAAATATATTTTTAATAAATATTTAAAAAGCTTAATAAATATTACGCTAATAAAATTAGCACTCGAACGTTTAATAAAATTATAAAATTATAAATAAAAAAGTTATCGTAAATTATCGTTTTTATTAAATTTAATAATATTTATTATTTATAATAGCTTTAAAATTTCGATTATAATAATTATTTTATTAATAGTTTTAAAAGTTTACGTAACGTAAAAAAAGCTATTAAAAAGCTAATTATAATATAAAAAAACGCAAAATAAATAATTATATTTTTATTATTATTAAAGCTTACGCGAAGGCCTCGCTTTTTATTATTTTTTCTCGCTTTATTAAATTATTATTATTTTTATATAATATAAATTATAAAAAATAACTATTTATAATATTATAAATAATTATAATAATAAAATTATTAAAAAAATTATTAATAAAAAAATAACGATAATTTATAATAGCTATTTTAAAATAAAAATAAAACGATAAAACGTGTGATTATTTTATTATAAAAGCTTAAATAATTTATTTAAAAGCGATTAAAAGGTAATAAAATAATTAATAAAGTTATTTTATTAATTTACGCTTTTTATTTTATATATAATTTTATCTCGTTAATAATTTTAATAATAATTTAAATTATATATTTATTTTATTAATTTATCACACTATTTATAATTAAGTAAGCTTTTCACGCTTTTTTTAATAATAAGTTTTATATATAAAAATCTTAAAAACTCGGATTTTAATATAATTATAATATAAAGCCTTTATATTAATTAATAACCTTTAAATACCCCTTTTATATTTTTTTTATTTTTTATTTTTTAATAATAAAGGTTAATAAATATATCCCTCTTTTTTTATTATTATTAAAAATGATTTAAATTATTAACACGCTTATTTTCGTTTTATTTTAAAAAAAATAACGTTAAAAACGTCGCTATTATTAAAAAAAAGTTATAAAACGTAGCTATTATATAAATAACTTTAATTAATATATAAAGCTTTAAATAAAATTATTACGTAAAAATTTTAAATAATTTTTTCCACCTTTTAAATGCTATTTTAATAATATTATAAAGCTAATTATAATAAAAATTATATAATTTTTTATATATAAACGATTTTAAAAAATCTCTTATTAATTTTTAAAAATAATATCGAACCCTTTTAAATAAAATAAATATTTTTTTATTATTTATTAAATTAGCATTTTTAAAAATAATAAAGTTTTTATAATTAATAGCGTAATTAAAAATACGAGCGTTATTAATTAATTTTTTTTATTTAATAAATATATAAATAAAACGGCTATTAAAATTAATAATTATTAACACGTTAATCGATATAAAACCCTTTTTATTTCGATATACCTTTTTTTTTTATAAATATTTGCGTAAAAATATAAGCTATTAATAACGTTAATATATTAATCGAAAAAAAAGTGAATTTAAAGTTATTATTAATTTTAAAATATATAATATTTTTTATCAGTTTTATTAAAGCTTTAATTAATAATATTATTAATTTTAAAATTAAATAAAAAGTTTAATAAATATAATCGTTATTTTTTTTTAAAATCGTTTTATTATTATTTTAAAAAAAATCTTTAAGCTATAATATAAAAAAAATTATTATTTTTCTATTTATATTTATTAATCTCGTTTAATATAATCCTTTTTTTTTAATAAAAAAGCTTTTTAAAATATTATATATGGTTTTTTTTATATAAAAAACACGTTAAAAACGCTTATTAAATAAGTTTAAAAGGTTTAATATATATATATTATTAATTCGTAAATTTAAAATATAAATATCACGTTAATTAAAAAGTTTTAAAGCTTTTAAAATAATTATAATAATATTAATAATAATATAATAATAAAAACGTTTACGATTATTTTTAATAAATTTACGATAAAAAACGGCTATTTTTTATAAAATAATATAAAAACGTCGATAATTATAATAATAAAAAAGGTAAAAAAACGCGTTTTTAGCTTATTTTTAATAAAAAGATAATTATTAATAACTTTAATAAAATATAAATTTATAAAATATTAATTAATATAAATTATTATTAATTTTAATAAAAAGCTTTATTTTAAAATATATTTATCGACTTTTAATATTTTTAAAGATATTAAAAAATTATTTATAATTTTATTAAAAAATTATATTTTAATTAATTATTCGAAATAAATAAATATAAATTCATTTATTATTTTTTAGCGTGATAAATTATTTAATTTTCTCGTTAAATATAAAATTAATAAAATCCATTATAAATTAAAAAAGCTTTATAATTATTAAGGCAATTTTCGAGTCGAATAGTTTTTATAATTAAATAGATGTGTGAAAAAACGAAGTAGTTTATAATCCAGGCAGGTTTCGAGGTTCTCTCCGCAAAAAAAAAAAGGGGACCCAACAGCGTGTGCTAAGAACATGCCAAGTTTTTTAGCGGTCGCAAGTGCTTTTTTAACTGCTTCTTCCTTCACCCACACACACAGAGAGAATGGAAGCGACGTTTCGTAAATGGTTCCCAGAATGGAGGAATTTTCCAAGAGGAATGCAAAAAAACTGAACAAAAAGCAAAAATAACGACCCGGACGGGATTCGAACCCGCAATCTCCAGAGAGCAACAACCAGCACAAGGACTGGTAGTTTGGATTTTCGTCGAAAATCGCCGATTCCGTCACCGAAATCTGGCGCCTTACCATTAGGCCACCGAGCCACTCGCCTTCACTTGATACGTTGGGTTTTTTTGGCGTTATTCAATACCTTGACCTTAAATGCGGGTGGGGTCCCGGTCCGGCATACTTCACTCAATCCACAGGTATGTCATTAAAAATCCTGTCACTGACTGGTCTGTACTGGCTGTGGCCGGCAGCCGGTCAACCCGCGGAGTCTGTCTATCGAACAAAGAGCGCCGCCTTACAGGTTGACGAGCGACGTTCTCCGAAAAGTCACCGTCACTGGTTGGTTCCAGTACGCGCCCATCTGATCTGATTCTGGGGTGGAATGCAATGCCCAGGCATTAGCGTGTGCAGCTCTCCTCTCTCCTCTCTCTCCTCTCTCCATCGGATGGGGTACGGCGATTGCAAGAAAGTGCGTTATCGGTCGTCTGGCAACGGGAACACGATGTGCTTGACTTTACGTTTACTTCCTATTGTCGGGATGAGTTGTCGCCAATGTTTGGGCGGCTTTTCACATGGAAAGAATGATACGAGAGTCAAGACAGACAACCTTAGGCACTTTTTATTGTTCGTATTAGATTAACCTACTGGTTATGATATGATTTTAGATACATAAGGAACTTACATCTGTACCTAGGTAGATATAATTCCAGACAGAGCATCTGGATGCGCTTGATGATACCCGACCACCGACGTCATGAAGAGGTAAAGGGGTAATAGGGGCAAAGAGTGTTCACCCAGGCACCTGCAAAATAGAAGGGTCGAACAAACTTCTAGCTCATTCCATTAACCCTCACTCAATTATCTCTTCCCTCACAAGCACAACGATTTGAACCTTCTCAATCGCGTCATGTCAGCATGTTCAAACTGGCTCCCGGTCCCTCCCCTACTAACCTAGTATAATCAATCTCCTTGAGGCTTGGACCTCGGGAGTCGGGGGCGACCACTGGCTGGCTGACTGGCTGACTGCCTACCTATCTGGGTACCTGGGTAGCTTAAGTGGGGAGCCACCACGGTGATCTGCTCAGCTCCCTCAGTGGCATCTCAGCTTGCAACTCAGCTTCAAACCTTCCAGATTGTACGCATACATACATCCATGTCATACCACGAAAGGGTATCTATCTCTCTCTACTTCGCAAGTCCAGATGGCTTCAGATGGAATCGGAAGCGAAATACCTACTTAACACATCTCTCTCTTCGAGACTCCCGTAGTTCGGTTCCCGCTGCCCGGTTACTTAGCGCAGCGCCCGTCTGACCCCGTCAAATCCCACATCATCCACCATGGCGAAGCATCCACAGGTCTAAGCAAGCCCGCCCGTTGGCATAGCACGGCCATACTAAAAAAAGAAGCAAGTAAATACCTAGTCAATACGAGGAGAAAATCATGCAATAGCCGAACAGCATCTCCTTTTCTTTTCTTTTCCTCTTCCTTTATACTTGCTGGCATGGTCCTTGTTATCTATCGTTGCGTCTAATTCCCTAACTTGCCATCTCTATCGCAATCTATCTTCTCGATCAATAGCAGCCAGTTCCACCCTCCCCCGTTCTCCCGACAACCCTCAATCACCGAGTAAACAAAGCAAGCAAGACAACATTGAAGCTCGGATCAACCATGTCGTCCACGACCAGCTCCGCCGCCGCCGCCGCCTCGCCCACCTGCGCCAACGTGTACGCCGTGCCCGTCCTGGACGCCCTCTGCGCGATGCCCTTCGGCGGGAACCACACCGACATCATGAAGGCCTGCTGCAAGGACGCCGACGTGGTCTCGTACTACGACGACTGCGGCCTCTACTGCCTGGCCCAGGACCAGACCGTCGAGGACCTGCGGGTGTGCCTGTACGCCAACGGCGCCACCTACACCCAGATCGACGTCTTCTGCAGCGGCCAGGACAACGCGACCGCCACCGCCACCGCGGCCGCCGTCCCCAGCACCGCCGGCGCCAGCATCATCGCCACCGGCAGCGACTCGGAGGCGACTGCTGACAGCACATCCGATTCGTCTTCTTCGTCCACTGAAACCCCGGGTGCCGCTCCCCGAACCAGGCCCGAGTTCGGTGTTACCACCGTCGGCCTCACCGTCGGTGCTCTGCTCTTCTCGGCTACGGCCTTTGGTGCATTCCAGCTGTGAGACATTATATCATCCCAGTACATGAAAGAGGAGGACATGATGAAAAGAATTCAGGGAAATAATGATAACAGATGAACTTGGAACAAGACCAATTTTGACCAGCATCCGGCAGGAAGCAGGCATTGGTACGGATCGACAGTCCGTTGGCATTGGGATATTTGAGGTCGGATAGAGTGAAGGATCTGAGATGTTCCTGCATATGGATCTGGATCTGGATCTGGATCTGGGTCCGCCTGCTTGCTGAACTTATATAATAATAAAATGTATTGGGACTCTGGTTGGATATGGCGTCGAAAGGGGGAAAAGGTATCAGGAGTGGACGAATATTACAATGTATCTAATTAATCAAGGCATATGTATGTATATAGTCGTAAATGTATCACGGATAAACCTTAGTCTTCACAACAGGTAGTATGCAAGCAGCCTGCTACCTGACCATAAGCCATGTGGCGACTGAGGATTCCAAGGACCTCACAGATCCCTCCAGCGTGGGAATGTTCCATTGCATAATGGGTAGGCAGACTATCGGTCAATCTTCCCTCCACCATCAATCACACCTACCCCATTACACGCTTCTTCTCATCATTGATGGGGCCCTGTTCTGGGACCACTGCACCTGACCGCGCCTTTGTCACACAGCATTCTGACTTTCAAAATGCTAATCTGGCAGTGGTCAATGAATGGTGTTGGGCGGAGATGGACATGAATGAGTCTATTTGAGTCCATGGGCATCATGATACATCAGCCTAGGGAGGTAAGGGGGGGGCATCGAACAGGCTACCGAGCAATGCTGAATCCTCTAGTTGCCATCTGTCCGAGTCCTCTCCGATCGACCTTGATACGGGTGGTCTATGTAGAAATCAAAGTAATGAGAAAATGTTCACCTTGCATTTCTCATCATTTTCTTTTCTGCCTGACAGATCTACAGCTCTATCCACTACCTAGGTACTCAAGTATTGGATGTACCCAATGTATTTATCTCGTATATACCTAGTATCTTCAACTTGGACCCCTCTCAAGAGGTAGGTACCCAACGACCAGGCTGTCGGGTGTATGTATATATATCTAACATGGGCGGTCAATTCTTTCAACAGCCCCCCCTTCCTCAATCCCTTATCAACTCCCCGACTAACCTCGCAACCAGAAACCAGATCCCAAACCCCAAACCCCATCCTCCGTAAACGTCCGTCCGTCCCGTCACCTCTCCTCCTCCCAAACCGCCGGCGCGCCCCCGCGCAGCTTGAAGTACCCCGGGTGCAGCCTCTGAAAGACGCCCTCGGGATCGTACTGGCGCGCCACCGCCCGCAGCCGCGCCACGTTGGCCGCGCCGTACCCGGCGATCGGGTCCTGGAACTGGCTGGCGTAGCCCATGTACCGGAAGGGGTGCAGCAGGCCGCGGGCCCTAGCGGCCGCCTCCATGGCCGCCACCATGTCGCGCAGCGCCGTCATCACCGCCTCCGCCTCGGACGCGAGCACCCACATGAACGATATGTTGGTGATCAGCAGCGGCTTGTTCTCGTTGCTCTCGGCGACCACCCCGAGCGCGTTGCCGCCGCCCCGCCGCATCCCCCGCATCTGTGGCACCGTGATCACCTGGAAGCTGACCGACGGCACGAACGGCGCCGTCAGGTTGCGCAGCGGCTCGACCGCCGCCACGAAGATGTCGGACAGCTCGGCCGCCAGCGCCCGGTCGAGCTGCGTCGTCACCGTCCAGTAGCTGTACCGGAAGCCGAAGGGGGAGTGGACGTCGAGGTCGATGGTCAGGTTGGCGAGCGACGTGGTGCGCGTGCCGTCACTCAGTAACGACGGCGGCGGCGGCGGGGCAGCGGCTTCTTTATTATCCTCGGCCCCGTCGTCGTCGTCGTCGTCGTCGTCGTTGGCGCGCTCGGAATCGGAATCGGAGTCGGAGTCGAGGTCGTCGGAGAAGTAGCGGTCGAAGACGGCCGGGTGCGCGCCCGGCGGCTGCGGGTCCGCGTGCGTCATCGAGATGGACGCGATCCATATGTCGTAGGCCTGGTGGTAGGCGATCGAGGTGATCAGGGCGGCCTTGGGGTCGGAGGCGGCGGCGGCGGCAGATTCGCCCTCGTGGCCGCCGAAGGCCACCAGCGCGTCGAGCAGCCGGGCCCGCGACGAGTGCAGCTCCCAGACCCTGTCGCCTCCCCACATGAGCCCCTGCGGGAACACGCGCGACGTGAACCGCGTCACCACGCCGAAGTTGCCGCCGCCGCCCCGCAGCGCCCAGTACAGGTCCGGGTGCGTGACGGCGTCGACGTCGAGGATTTCCCCCGACGCCGTGACGAGCTCGTAATTCACGACGTTGTCGCACGCCCAGCCGTGCTGGTTCGAGAAGAAGGATATACCGCCTGGAAGTCGGGTGTTAGCTTTGGTCGTCTCCATATGCTGGGAGGGGGAGGAGGAGTGGTGGCGATGAGTGGTGATGGTAAGCGATCTTGAGGGGGCGTTGAGGAGAGGTGACTTGGGTACGACATTTTGAGAAAAAAAAAAAAAAAAAAAAAAAAAAAAAAGAAACATAAGCATTACGAAAAGGTTGGAAAGGATGGAGGAGGTAGTGCCCGTCACTACGTCTGTGATGGTAGAACAGATCCTGACACTGATCTCCCTGTCGCCGAGGCGAAAACGACCCAAAAAGAAGCAAGCTCACTCACCGCCCAGCAACAGACCACCTACACCGACCGAAGCGACGCGACCACCGACCATGGTGACGTTGTCCCTCTCCAGGACGGTATACACCCTCAGCCACGTATTGCCCGGGCCGATGTCGACGGTCTGGCGGTCGGGGCTCAGGACCACGCGGTCCATCCTGACGAAGTCGATGGTGACGCCGCCGTCGCTGGACGAGGCGCCGCGGAAGGCGGCGTGGCCGGCGCCCCGGGCGGCGAAGGGGCACTG